AAAAAAACACGATGCACCAAGCAGATCGAAGTCCTAAAATAAAATCTTGTTATATGTGGTGTTTCTTGATTGAAGAGTTTCTCGCTCTCAGTCAACAGATACGATAAATGCACATACTTACGTTCAGCAATAGTTGTTTTTTTCTCAACGTAGGCCACTTCAATCATTTTTAACATCTGAAGATAAATTAATGTTCCTCGAGTATTAACATTATCATTTAAAATTTTGAATAGATCAGTAGATGTTAATTTTAAACAGGAACTAAAGTTTTGACGATCCTTAGGATTAATGTCAGATTTTTGTTAATCCATGATCAAGTTTAGTATAAATGTCACTATTGATAATATCATGTAAATGGTTGATCGATATAAATTGATTACCAAGGTGTAATTCGGCTGTTGATGATAATAAACGATTACGCCATTTGGTTACCAAATGTGTTGCGTCTTGAAAAAATAATAAAACTTGTTGTTCACGTCAATAAAACCAAGGCCAATGTGATGTTGTTTTTATTTCAAAAGCTTGTGGATGTCGATGAACTTGAAAATTAGGGAGAGATCCGAAAAAACCACTCATTAACCTCGTAGCGCGTACGTATTTAGCATCAGCATCTATAAAAAAGAGTTACTCTTTTGTAAGATTTGAATTAACAGTATTTAGTTATTTTCTCACCAGTAGAAAAACCAATAATTCTTATATTTCTTTGTAAACACTGGTTGAATATATATCACCATCTTTGTAATATATCATTTGCTGTAGCGGTATTATCAATTCCATATGCTGATAATAGAAAAGGACTTGGAATAATACTTTGATTTGAAGCTGGAATAGGCTGAACCATATGTACATTGAGTAATGATGCTTTTTCAATTGAATTAAACCAGATTCTCAATGTATCAAATGAATCAGTTTGATAATATTCTTTAATCGGTACTCCACAATCAAGTGCTGTAGAAAACCCATTGAATGTATTTGTTGTTGAGTCATATTTAATTTTTTTAATTATACTGGTAGTATCTTCAGAGCCGAATGCATATTGAATATTAAGTTGATCAAAATGTTTTTGAAGTTGATCAAATCGTAATTCTCCTTCATTAATTTTTGAATCTGACTTGGAAATCAGTTTATTTAACATAGTTAAATTCGGTAGAGAGCCTAGTAAATTTAATCGAATGAATTCATATGTTAATTTTCCACCTAGTATATATAATGATACAGCAAAGTTCTTGATTTTGTCGCTATATCGAAAACCAGTCCCAGACTTTGTTGAATTGCTAGTTATTGTATTAATAAAATCTTTTAAAAAACAATATTTATCTTCATTATTATTATTATCATTATCAATTCGTTGATAATAAAGAACCAAGTTCTTTAACAATGAATGTTTATTAATAAAATCAAAAGATAAACTAGAATTTGCATCAGCATAACTATCTTCTATTATTTTTTTTTGTTGCCGTTGTTTTAAGAAATCAAGTAAATAATTTAGATTATTTATTAATCCAATTTTTATAATAAATTGACCATCATCGAGCTGCAAACATGATTTTTCTCTAATTAATAAGAAACTAGGCTCTGAACATTTTATATTAAATATTTCAAATATATCTGGATTTCGAATTAAAGATTGTGTAGATGTTATTGATTGAAATTTCAAGACATCTACTATTTGTTGTCCAACTAATTGTTGAATAAATGTATAGAATTCTTCATTTTTTAACGAAAAAAGATTATCTGTAAATGTATCATCCATTGGAAGGAAAAGCACAATTTCTTTTTTATATTTTATCTTAAAAAATAACTAGAAGCATAATAATATCAGTTTAGAAACTGTTTGAAGATTAATATTCACGATATTCTTTTTGATAGAAATTCCAATTAACAAACTTCCGTTGGTGAAATGATGTATCGATACTTTGTGGAAATAAAAACATTATAATAAAAGGTGGAATATCGCTAAAAACAATACAATAAAAATCTGGATAATATATAAAGCATAACTTTAGAAGCTATTGGCGGACTATATTCTTGAGTCATGAATCATATCATTTCAAGATGATATACATTATGTTTTCTTCCTTTTCACACACATCGTCTCTGAAAAGAATTTTTTTATAGATAATTAATAACCAAATATGTTTAAATTAGATGTTCTTATTGATACATCTGTATTACCATCTAATATAATGTTATTACGTGATGAAAAGTTTATTGATTTCGTGAAAGAAGAAGCCAATGATGCTGCTGCTGAATTACTTGAAGTACAAGGTATTAATTGTGTAAAGTCATTGTTGATGACAGCCGATGTTTTTGCAATTATGAACGTTAAGAGTAAAAGTCTTGATGATTTAAAAAAAATATGATTATGTGCTAGATGATAATACATTTGTTGTGCAACCTGGAGTAAAAGGAAATATAGAATATCTTATTGATTTGTTAAAACAAAAA